ACATTTTCCTGAAATACATCACCATTAGTGTATAGGAACGATTATTTCTCTAATCTAATATATAAAATTCTCGTGTCACAATGTTCGTTCCCATACTCCTCCGAAACCGCTTGACCGATTCTCATGAATTTTTTTATGCATATTCAGTAAGCCTGAGAATCGGTTACTATCTATTTTTCATACCCCTAAGTGATTAGGGTTGTCCACCCCTAACATATTTTTTTTTATTTGGACATTTTTTTTTGTTATAATGAGGTATTATGTGGTTGAATGAGGTTTTGTTATTTTTATTATATATTCCCTCATCGTTCACAGCACTACATACCTCTTTCACTCATTTACCACATTCTTACACACTTACAATAAGTTAGTTTTTTTTTCTACACTAGAAATTCCCTAGAAATCTTATATATGGCAAAACAATGTTTGCCGGGTCAGCTAGTTTTATTATAAAATTTTATTAATAAAATTAATTTTAACAGTTTAATCTAGCGTTTGTTATTTTCACACTCACAAGAGATCCTACCACCAGTAAAACCCACCCGGTGTCTCGTGGGTCAACAAATATTATTTTCCTTTTTTTCGGTGACATCGTATCAGAAGTTACGAACGCCATCTGTCGGCAATCCCCGAAAACGATACCCGTGCGTCCCGTTCATCGTCCTGAGTCAGCACAACAGTCTCCAACTTCAGAAACTACTAGCTCAGTGGACGTAGCACTAATACCTCCCCGGGCACCGTCCGAGTATTAATTAAAAATAACCACCAACTTTCCATTCCATTAGTTCGCCGGGCACCGCTGTTCCTACAAACTTTGTAAGCTCCGCGCTGTTGTGATGTCAGCAAAAATGTGTTACAAACTCATCTTAGAAGTAATAATTTTAAAGAGTTTTTGTACTAATGACGTATTATTTAAATGAAATAAATTTATATATATAGAAGGTCAAAAGGTTTTGAACACATGTTACACTGGTTGGTATATGTGCCTGGTCATATTTAACCTCTGCCACATCGCCTACCACAGCTATTCTCCTTATAATTTGATCCAGCTTATAATTCATGTACTCCTAAATAATTAATCTAATTGTAATTTTGCAATTGGTAGTAGAGTCTTACTCTACGACATACGACAAAAGTCTGAATCTCCCTAATGACAATTTCCAAATAACCTGTACAAAAGCTTGTGAACAATGTTAATAAGAATAAACGTCAGTCTGCCGAGGAACTTCATTCGCTCGGTGGAATGAATACACCCTTCACAGTCACCAACCTACTTACTACCCTCTACTTGGTTTCTCGGTTTTACAGATAATGAAAACCGCTTATATATAACTTTGATACAGTAGTTCTTTTCTTTTCTTATTTCGCCAGCGAAATAATCGCGTATTTCTATTCCACGCGGTAGTTTGAATGCCGAAGACTGCGATAGTTACTAACTCGGGTTGAATTTAGAAATAGATTGGACATATTGGTTAATATTGTTTTACCCGAATAGCCTAATAAAATTAAAACGTCTACCTCGTCTTAATTATTGACATACCAAATATTTACCGAATCGGAATCACGACCTACTACGAAGATCCAGCAAGAAACTCAGTGGGCTGTGCCTGAGGTTGCACGCGCTGCTAATACGCTATCCGCTGTGATTTTTCTCGTGAATTGAAGTTATTTTAATATTATTCTTTGGAAAACACGATAAAAGCGTCCATTGTTAGCGGAATGAGTAATCTATTAATATTTTTATATTGCACACAAATTTCATGTTACTCTGTTATCAACGTGCCTTTTTAAGACCACCATTTTAATGAAATACATTTTTATTAAAAGCATCTTTCTCAGTACACTCGTTTTTCCTGTGAGCTCAGGTAACAAGTCCGTTTGTGTCTCCGTGTATTAATCTATAACAATAAATAAAGTCTTAAACTAGTCTACAGACTTTATAATTACGTCTTTACTGTCCTTAAAAACAAATCACATAGTGGATTTTGTACTTTAACTTTAATACAGAAAAGGTCAAAATTCATTAAACTACGCTATATTCGTTTGTTTTTCGCAGTAAAACTCGAACTCATTCGCGAATATTGAACGAAACCTCAAACTTTAAATCAAAACTTTAGTTCATATATGGATGAATTCATTAAGAAAACTTTTGATTGTGCTATCAGTCACAAGGTCCATATCGGTACGAATTCAATACCCACCGAGCGCTAAATTCACAGTTCAATATTTGTTATAGGTTTGGGGAAAAAGTCTTTTCGCATTGTATGTATGAACTTGTAATAAAATCTCTTTGGCTATACTATTCGTATCTGGCTGGTTTTGGTATCATTAAATGTATAAAATTTTAAAGAAGATAATTCCAAATTCAAATTAGGAAAATGTGTGATTTTTATTTATTATGTAATTAATGTGGACTGTAATAAATCGAGTAGTTTGTACGTCAATTCGATTCTAATAAAATTATATATCAATATTTTCCGAATTTTCCGAAAGCAATCCCTATTTATGCCTATTGAATATTTTACAAGTGCCACAAAGGTCAGACGTATCGTACGTCGTATAAGCTCAAGGTCACTTTTAACGTGTAAATATTCCAAAATATCGAAAGAAATTAATACGTAACTTAATACACCCCACAGCCTTCAGGCTTCACAAAATTTATTACAAACCTCTTTTGACAATACATATGAGTCGTCTATTATCAAAGGTGGCAATCTGTGCATTTGGACAAAAAATTTTTATTGATATGTCAATACAGATTGATTTGAATATAATCGTCTCCTTCCAAGAATACGGTTCAAAACCTGCACTAAATAAAGGTTAATAGTTAACCTGTTATTTATCTAAGATGTCGTTCCGAAGAGTTTTGTGACTGCCGATGGAATACAAAGTCAATAATTCGTTTTTCTGATTTACCAATCATTGTCCAAAAGTCAGATTGCCGCCTTTGATAATAGTCGACTCATATATGCGAACTCATTTATCGCTAGTTTGTACCGAACTGTTATGACGCAGTTGTGTATTCCAGTTTGAACGATGAGCCGGTCGCTCGCTACACAATAAGATCGAGACTTCGACATCATATCTATAGGTGGGTATTCAAATGAACTGATAACGTCTAGTGAAATATAATATACTAGCGGCCCGCCCCTTGCTCCGCTCGGGTCTTTAACAAAAATTTCAACGATATTAGATGTTGTTTTATTCTTTTTAATTAAAAGAACACTTATTGCGGCATTACTATAACAGTTAGACATATTATTATGCTGTCACGACACTTTTTGTAAATAATAATGTGTTCTACAAAGTCGTAGTATATTATTTTATTCTATCATCAATAGTTTTTGCGGGACACGCGATGTAAAGAATATTTTAGGTAATTATTTTACAGCTTTGGTTATATTATTGGAGTTTTAGTAAGGATCCCGAATTTTTTTCAAAAAAGATTAAAGCCTATGTCACTCGGGAATAGTGTAGCTTCCAAATAGTGAAAGAGTTTTTCAAATCGGTTTAGTAGTTTCGGAACCTATTCAATACAAACAAACAAACAAATCTATCCTCTTTAAAATATTATATTAGTATATTAGTATTAGTATAGATATGTCGGAACGTCAGTAGAAATAGCTGTGATATATCAGATTGAAAACGTCAAGTTAATTACCTGGGTGGAATCGGAGATGGCGCTGCGATCGTAATTGTTTATGAGTAGACTTGTTATTGACTCGTTCGATAGACAATGGCTTATGGCAAGTGTCAGTGAATCTGTGCATGATGTGTGACATTTGAAGAGTTAGTCTATGGCGGTAGTATGACTAGAGTCATTTGAGAGAGAAGGCATTCTCTTTGGCACCATTGCGATCGCACGCATCTCTGAGATCACCGCGTTTCTAGTCTGCTATTATTTAACTATGTTCTTATTTCGAGTCTCACCTACAAATGACTGACCACGAGGACACCAGGTGATGATCGGGAAGAGCTCTGCCCGACATATTTATTTCAGTCAATTCGCATTTCTCAGACGAAACAATCTATGCAAAATATCACCTATAAAGGCATCCACCTGCGCTCACGTAAATACATCTAGAACTTAACCCGTACATCTGTAATGGAACATTTTACGCTCGGCTATATTTTATAGCGTTAGGTTCAGTTGTAAAATTTGCATAGCTTAAACGCACGGTCTTCAGGTGGGCAGACGTTTTAAATTGAATCTATCTCGGGGAATACGGGCGGGACAGTTCAATCCCCGGGGAAATACTTGACGTGTACTAGCTATCCCTGAATAAATAATGTAGCGGCAGACAAGAGATTCTAAACTATTTAAACCTACAAATATAATTCATTCGCTCTACATTTCGGAGGCTTTATGTACGGAATCCGACCAGCAATTGTTTCTATTACAATACGTTTATATTCCTCTGAACATATTTATAATCTTGTATGAGATTCAAGGGAGCGGGTTCCGAAACGAATATATGTTACTCTTGCAGATCGCAAATGCAAATATAGAATAAGCATCCTGATTTAAAAATTACGTTTCACTAAAAAAATCAGTTTTTTTTCCTACCTAAGCTGGTGGTAGCCTTAGAGGACTAGGTCAGCGTAACCGAATGAGTGGGTGAGCTCACGGAGCTCTAACCTGAAGACGTTGCTAACACTAGCCCTAGCAAGATTCCCAGAGTCAGCCACCGGATCGCAAACGCGACCCACTGAGAAGATCCGGCGAGATACTCAAAGGGCTGTGTCTGTGGATTAATTTAGTCGCCGAACCCTTCGTCGCTTGCGCCCTTCGGCGAGAACGGTGACCGGAAAATTTAATGCAGACAACGCAATGCAATTAAGCATCAATGACCTTGTGTTGAGCGATTAAGAGTTTCTCGTTGGTTGAATACTGCATAGTAGCAGAAGTATCGGTACCTGGTCGAATAGCATAGCAATATTAATATAGGTTCTGCATCTAGTATTTTTAAACCCTTCGAGGAAATAATTTTAAAACTTACCCTGGCTGAAAGACTGGCACGCAACGTACAACCACACCCAATAGATCTGAAAAAATTAAAATAAAATTTTTATTCAGTACTAGCTGACCCGGCAGACTTCGTAGTGCCTCAATCAATAAATAAAAGACCTAATTTTTGTATAAAATAAATTTAAAACAAACAAAAGAAATCCGTCCGACGGGGGATACATCAAAGGAAAAACAAAATTATTATTTTTATTTAATTCCGAGAATTTTCATATTTATCTACCTTTTAAACCTTCTCTGGACTTCCACAAATAATTCTCGAGTTTTAGCGAGACTAACGAACAGCAATTCATTTTTATATATATAGATTAAAGATTAATTATACGGCATTTTATATTATTTCTGTCTTACAAACACAACGCGCTGATAGCAATATTAATATGCCCGTAAATTTTCTGAAACACCATCTTGAGCTATGTATGACAAGTGGAGCGTAGATTATAATTGAATGACGTCACCGGCACCCGTCAAATTACACATTCAGCTCGATAAAGCGAATGCTTGGAGATGGCAACATTATGCGCTGGCTTGAATAATAGACTTGTACACTGTAGTGCAATATACATAATGGTACACTCACTATCGTATCGAGATTACAGAGAACTGATAAGACGGTTCGATCTACAGGGTTCATCGTCTCAGTTTATCTATCGGGTGTTTTAGGGAAAATCCCAATGAACAGTCGAAAATCGAAAAAATCGACATTTAGTTTGAGATTTTACACTGTATGGATTATTTTAATGCGCATTTTATCTACACCGGGCCATCTAAGTAAGAACTCTATCTGAGACGGGCAAAATAGCTTACAGTTCACCCGATGCTAAGCAAAATTACATATACACTTTATCTCAATAATATTCGAATAGAAAAAAATATCATGTATCTTAGAATATTTAAATAAAGGGGAATTCTTTTTTGTGATTTTATTTGACGCTATAACGTATATAAATTTACAAATTACAGTGTAAGTTGCCGAGACACACACAACTTATACTTCGCAACTGGTACAGCTTTTACTGCTGTATGAAGAGAAGAAAAGCCATTGCAGCGGTAGCTATCGATAGCGGTAACTATCACATAATAGAAATATAAATAGAAGTCGTCTGAGTTCTTCTATTGTGTGATAGCTACCACACCTCTTTACACGATAAGCTTGCACATAATATACAAATTCCAAACAACAACATTTGAACTATCGATCTACCCCGGTCACCGTCCTCGTCGAATCCGTCGCTTGCGACGAAGGGCTCGACGAGCGAATTAACCCATAGACACAGCCCACTGAGTTTCTCGCCGGATCTTCTCAGTGGGTCGCGTTTCGGATTCGGTCGTAATTCTGCGAAGCACTGCTCTTGCTAGGGCCAGTGTTAGCAACACTCCGGTTTGACCCCGTGAGCTCACCTACACGTTAGGGTGAAGCTGAAATAGCCTCTCAAGGCTATAAGAATAGGTAGGAAAAAAAGTCGATCTACTGAACGATCAGTGGAAGATCTTCTCTGTGACGTATAATTCGGACCGGTGCCCACGTAATGATTACCATCAAAATCCTCTTCACACTATCCTACTGCTACGTCATAGGTAGTAACAGATACTGCTTAGGGAACACATTCTCGGCCCCGAAAAGCTTAACATTATCCAATTATAATAATAATGTTGATGGGGAAATTGGTCCCAAAGAAAGTCATTTTTTATTTAGAGTTAGTCCTAACAGATTCCTGTAGGTCGTGGTATAATTTATTCTCAATTTGGAAATACTTTGCCGTCTGTCTACAGTTGAACAAAACAGGTAAATATGATTATCAAATTCGTTAAATATTTGCTTACGGCGTGAAATGAACGATTAATATTTGTCCGAACCCCCACGTTCGCGGTATATTGTTTACATTTACGTTTGTCATACTTTGTGTGATCACGCATTCATTGATGCGTGATTAATGCTTAATTAACAATTATTTTATATTAAACTGGTACTGGCCTTAGTACGTATGGAGATAAGCGTGATGAAATTGCCCCCGAGGAATATATTATAATAGCTATTTTGGGGATTTATGAAAAACCCATATTTTTATCTCGCATTATCAAGAAAAAAAGATGTGTGGTGTCGTGGGACACCGGATAGGAACGAAGTTCCATATTATAAAAATATTAATTTTAAGTTCTATTCGAGGTATAAAGAAAATAATTATTTGGGTATTGGGATTTTTTTATTGATAAAAATAAAAATAATCCCAAGGGTCAACCACTCCGCAGTGCAATAGAGCAGCCTCGCCCTGAGGGAACCGCCTGCATGGTCAGGGTATCCCCAACGCCAGATAAGAACGTCTATCAACTGTGTAACGTCTCGTCAACGCGATTTTTTTTTATTTTTTTTTTATTGCTTAGATGAGTGGACGAGCTCACAGCCCACCTGGTATTAAGTGGTTACTGGAGCCCATAGACATCTACAACGTAAATGCGCCACCCACCTTGAGATATAAGTTCTAAGGTCTCAATTATAGTTACAACGGCTGCCCCACCCTTCAAACCGAAACGCATTACTGCTTCACGGCAGAAATAGGCAGGGCGGTGGTACCTACCTGTGCGGACTCACAAGAGGTCCTACCACCAGTCCATGGTCCTACCACCAGTCCAGGTCCTACCACCAGTCCAGGTCCTACCACCAGTCCAGGTCCTACCACCAGTCCAGGTCCTACCACCAGTCCAGGTCCTACCACCAGTCCGATTCAGGAATTGTTGAATTTACGTGCAGCGACATCTGTTGATAGCAAACTAAATAGAAAAATCTTGCGTTACGGACGTTTTTTCCCGGTTAGGGTACCCCTTCGCAACGTCCCATAAGGAACTTCGTTCCAAAATTAAAATGTAAAAGCTATACCCAGAGATCGTTTTTGATAACAATAGATTATGTTCTAAGACAATAACTAATATATCTTAGTAACGTAGATCCTATACGTTTCATTATCCAACAAAAACAAAAATTAGACAAATGCTTGTATTTCAAAATTACTACTCAATTATACTCAATCATTAATTTTTTGTCAATTATTTCCATTGAAATGCACTTGAAACATTAAATGCTCGTCTTAAAGACATTTACTATGCGCATACACGACACAAACCATCCAAGCGACCAATTAGACGAGGCTCTTGTGCACAAAAGGAATCACTCCGATCAGTCAAGTTACCACGACGCCGGCTAAGGAACAAGAGCTCAACGAAAACTGGATATGTTGCGAGGAGCAATGCATTCCGCATCAATACAAGCCTCGCTACTGTTAGTGACATATGAGTATAGTAATTTCCGTTAGCTGCCAAAGAGCTAAATAATATTCAGTCGGTTGACTCCGCTCCTTGATTCAAACTATTCGTACATCCGTTGTTATTGTTATGAAATCATCACTTATTCAGCACAAATAAAAAACAAGATCGGGCGATGACTACTTTTAACATTCCTTGCTATATTTATGTAGGCAACTCATCATTCATTATTATCCTGCCCTTCTCCCAGTCACCTAAGGGTCGGCGCAACATGTTTTCTCCTTCTATACTCTTCTATCATATACCATTTATTCGCTCACTCCCCTCTTACCCATATCGTCTTTCACACAATCTATCCATTACTTCTTAAATTTACCTCTTCCTCTATATCCTTCCATATTCATAGTTAACACTCTCTTACCAACCTCATTTTCATTTCGTCTCATCACATGTCCATACCATCCCAAACGCGCACTGCTCAGCATCTCTGTCACAAGTGCCACTTTCAGACTTCCTCTAACATATTCATTCCATATTCTATCCATTCTCGTTACTCCACACATCCATCGCGACATTCGCATTTCTGCTGCATGCAATCGCCATATTTATGTAGGCAACTATCATGCTCTACAACCTTTTGTTGATAAACGGACCAAAAATGAGGTACGAGACGGTGAAAATGTTAAATGGTTCGTGATTCATATATCAACTATTTGAATGAGAATATCATGAGCAAGATAATAAAATTTCCCTAAATCCAGTGCTTGTGAAACAAATAATGTGATTATTATGACTAGTGTCGATAGCAACAACAATGCGATGGCCTCATCGAAATGTTTTCACCAACGTAATGATTGTAAATAGACATGCTTTAACAAAAACCGACTTCAAATAAAAAAAAAAAGATATTCCAAAACAAATTAATATACACTAAAAATAATAATCATCGAAATCGGTTGGCGTGATATTGAGTTTTTGAGTTATTCATATATTTGTCGCGCACGTATTTAATGCAAATTTAAGACTTATATGCTTTTCTCATGGATACCATTATCAGAACTGGACTAAATGGGACCACATGGGAAGCGTCACCTTTCTAATAAAAAAAGAATCATCAAAATCGATTCAGCATGAGGTAGTCGTCGTGGCCTAAAGGATAAGACGTCCGGTGCATTCGTATCGAGCGATGCACTGGTGTTCGAATTTCGCTGGCGAGTACCAATTTTTCTAATGAAATACGTACTCAACAAATGTTCACGATTGACTTCCACGGTGAAGGAATAACATCGTGCAATAAAAATCAAACCCGCAAAATTATAATTTGCGTAATTACTGGTGGTAGGACCTCTTGTGAGTCCGCACGGGTAGGTACCACCGCCCCGCCTATTTCTGCCGTGAAGCAGTAATGCGTTTCGGTTGGAAGGGTGGGGCAGCCGTTGTGACTATACTGAGACCTTAGAACTATATCTCAAGGTGTGTGGCGCATTTACGTTATAGATGTCTATGGGCTCCAGTAACCACTTAACACCAGGTGGGCTGTGAGCTCGTCCACACATCTCAGCAATAAAAAAATATAAAAAAAGGTAACAAACATAAAAAAAAACATACAGTCGAATTGAGAACCTCCTTTTTTTTTGAAGTCGGTTAAAAAACTAATCAGTGCAAAAAAAGACGTCTAAAGAATGCAGTCAGTACAGGTACAGACAGAGTAGACACATAAAACAACAAATACACTACTAAGTGGTGGCGTCAATTAGACACG